CCAATGCGGGGCTCGATCCCAGGACCCTGGGATCATGACCTGAGCTGAAGGCAGACGCTTAATGACTGAGCCACCCAGGTGCCCCGAGTAGTTTTGAATAGAAATGATGCAACAGTTTCAGGGACTATATTTTTCATGTCTATTTCTCATGTTTTCTCTTGCCCATCACATGAGAGGAGATAGGTTATTCCGGAGACCACCTACTCTAAAAAGGTAAGATGAGACCAGAATAATGAGAGGGCCTCAAAAGAAGATTCTGTTGAATCACTAATGAAGAAGGTACACACAGTGCTGCAGTCCTGTTAACCATGATGCTTTCACCTGCCTGGCTGCCAGTATCTCTTATTGCTGTGTTCTGCCCACTGGATTGATCCTGCTCCAGTGTGGCTCCAACACAGAAAGGAAGGGAAGAATGGGTCAATATGATGATGTAGAGATAGGGAGGGTCCACATGCTGGTCTTGCTAAGGGTTTTGGTCCTTCTTTTTTTTTTTTTTTAAACTCTTATATTTAATTTTTAAAACCATCCAAATTGGTAAGGAAGAAGTAAAACTTTCACTATTTGCAGATGACATGATACTATATATATAGAAAACCCTACAGATGCCACCAAAAACTGCTAGAACTGATAACTGAATTCAGTTTTGGTCTTTCTTACAAGAGCAATGCAAAGCCATTGCAGACTTTATTTTTGTTTCATTTTTTTATTGTTATTTTTAGCATTGGAGACACATGATAGGTTTGAATTTTGAAAATAATACTCTCTGTGTGTTGTTTGTAGAGATAGCAAGGCCAGGGTATGTGTAGGAAGCCAACACAACAGGTTAGATGACAAATGAAGGGTTTGGTTCCAGGTAGGATGGTGGCAGTGGGAATGGAGAGAAGTATGTGGACTTGTGGCAATTTGGGTGTGGACTGGGTGATGAGAGAGAGGAACATGCCAATGACAACTCGCAGATTCTGGAATGCAACATGGAATGCCAGCAATAAGGAGGCTGTGGAAGGAGGATGATGAGTTTGGTCTTGGGTGTGCCTATGGGTCCCCAGGAGGGGATAGCTGGTGGTGGGAGTTTGTATGTACACATCTGGATTCGGAGATATCTTAGATGACGGGTTTAAATTGGGAGCCCTCTGCATGTCAATGGGAATTGAGAGTGGGAGATAGTCTGTGGCAGGAAGGGCCATGGGCTTTGGAATTAAGAACAAAGAGGTGCCCCAGTGTCGATGTGTCAGGGAAAGGAAGAGCTTGCAAAGGAGACCTAGCAGGAGGAATTGGGAGGGAGGCCTGGGGAGTGGGGTGTCCCAGACTCCAGGGAGGAGAGTGCCTCGAGAAGGGGAAAGGGAGAAGCTGTGTACTATTAGGAGTGTACCCACCTGGCAAATGACGTGGAGGTACTTGAATTTCATGAGAGCTGTCTGGGGCAGTGGTGGGGGTAGCAGCTAGGCTGACATGCTGAAGAGGACACAGAAGATGAGAAAATGGAAAAGGCAAATGTGAGTATGTCTTTCAAGAAGTTAGATTATGAGGGAGAAGAAGAAAGGGATAGAGTCATAGGGTTGAGGAGAATCCAACAGATTTTTAAGTGTGTTGGGGAGTGGGGTGGGGTGGGGTGTGAAAGAGTTAGGTTCTAAAGTTTATATTGCTTCAAATATTTTTTGAATCATTAGCCCAAAAGAACAAATGTACAGGGTGCAGGATTCCGACTAGTGTTGCTGTATTCTACTATCTTGCAGGATACTTTGAATATGGAGGTGTAACTTAAATATAAGTGATCCTACAGAGATTGCCATTGTGGTAACAAGGAGTGGCTACCTTGAAAAATGAGAATGAAGTCTACAGGAGAATGAGACACAGAAATTAGAGAAGAAGAAGACGGGTGAGAGAAGCCTTAAGTCTCCCAGCCAGCTAGGTGTAATACATGCTGTCCTGTCCAAAATTCTTAACTCTATTCCCTAAAGTGTAAAAATAGCCCCTGGCCTCTGCCCTCCACTGTTGTCCAGCACTGTCTGCTTCATCACTTAATAGAGCACATTTTGTGATCAGCTCATACCTCTGAGCACAGGTCCTGTTTCTGTCTTTGAGCATACACTGTGCCCATAACAGACAGTTTGAGCTTTCCCCCTTTCCCTCTCCAAATAATCCCCATAAGTGCAACCCATCACACTATACCTCCATTGCTGGACCTAGCCATCGCCCAGGCAGCCAGGAACCCAACAGTGCCAGCTCTGGACAGCAGGCCCTGCTTTTGCAAAAGGAAAAGGAACAAGCCCCAGAAGTGCAGGCGTGGGAAGAGTTTGTGCCTGGGAAAGGGATAAAGTACGAGGCGTCTGTTGGCCAAACACCCCACTTAGCCATGTTTTCCAATGCTAGTGCCTACTGGAGATGGGATGAGGAAACACTCAGAGTGTTTCTCTGCCCAAGAATGAAGAAGGCACACTTTCTCAAAAGACCTGTGATACATGAGAATTTAGATTTCAGTAACTGTGCTGTTGTGGATCCAAATATAATGGGTTTATTTTTTATTTTTTTCATATAACAAAAAACATTCCCTATTTCCTAAGTATCCAGCCATCAGATCCATGCAGGCAAATAGTCTGTTTAGAATAATGAAAAAAAATAAAATCTACATCCTGTGAGTGTGGGTGTGGAGATGGGGACAGCCCTCTCCTACCTCCCTGTGGTTAACTGTTCATCTCCAACCCTCCTTCACTAATCAAACATACAGGGGTAGACAGCACACCTAAACCCCATGTAGACTCATGCACACCTGTGGATGACACTGCCTGACTGCCTTTACTGGGTACACTAAATGGGTTCATAGCTGTCAAGCTCTGGGCAGATGTGCTCTGTGGAAACATCTCTCTCCTTCAGTAAGATAGTGAAGTGGTAATTAAAGCAGTTGCTGGTAGTGAGCCCAAACATAAACAGGGGAGGGGTGACAGAAAGGACATGTCAAATTGAGAGAGAAAGAAGACTTTTTTCATGGGCATTGTGGGGAGGGGTAGAACCCTGTGTATGAGTCTAATTTTGATTCTTGGATTTTGGGTGCTGTATATTTTTGGCATTCATTTGTGATGCTCTCATTATGATTGGCCATGGTGGTACATCTTAAATTTAGTTTGATTGTCCTAATTTGGCCTCCTGACTTGCCCTTCCAGTGATGTGAATCTGTGCTTCTGGAGAGAGCAATAGTGTGGGGCTAGGATACTGTAGGAGAAACAGCAGTCCCCGGGGGGAAGATGAAAAATCAATATCCCAAAGGATCGGATTTGATGGGCAGGGCATGGGGAATGGCAAGAGCCTATGACAATGGTGACACCTTAGTTCAGAGTGGTATCTCTGGAGAAGGACCTTGGCTAGCAACTGGGAATATCGTAGTGTCTAAATGGGAGGGTCTGGCAAGTAATAAGCTTTTTTTTTTTTTTTTAAGATTTTGTTTATTTATTTGATAGAGAGAGACACAGCGAGAGAGGGAACACAAGCAGGGGGAGTGGGGGAGGGAGAAGCAGTCTTCCTGCCAAGCAGGGAGCCTAATGTGGGGCTCGATCCCAGGACTCTGGGACCATGACCTAAGCTGAAGGCAGATGCTTGACTGAGCCACCCAGGCGCCCCTATTTTGAATTAATTTTTATATATGGTGTAAGATAGTGGTCTAGTTTCATTCTTTTGCATGTAGCTGTCCAGTTCTCTAATACTATTTATTGAAAAGACTGTCCCTTCCCCATTGTATATTCTTGCCCCCTTTCGTGTAAATTAATTGAACATATTATGTGTGGGTTTATTTCTGGGCTCTTTAATCTGTTTTACTGATGTATCTGTGTTTATTCCACTATTGTGTTGTTTTGATTACTGTAGCTTTGTAGTAGAGTGTGAAATGAGGGTGCATGATACCTCTGACTTTGTTGTTCTTTCTCAAGATTTTTTGGTTACTTGGGTCCTTTTATGGTTCCATATATATTTTAGAATTATTTTTTCTAGTTCTGTGAAAAATGCCAATGGAATTTTAATAGGGGTAGCATTGAGTCTGTAGATTGCTTTGGTTGTATAGGACATTTTAACAATGTTAATTCTTCCAATCCATTGTATATCTTTCCATTTATTTGTGTCTTCTTCAATTTCTTTCATCAATGTCTTATAGTTTTCAGTCTACAGATTTTTCATCTTCTTGGTCACATTTATTCCTAGATATTTTATTATTTTTGATACAATTGTAAGTGGAATTATTTTGATCTCTCTCTCTGATAGTTTATTATTAGTTTATAGAAACTTAACAGATTTTTGTATATTAATTTTTTATCCTGTATCCTGTATCACTTTACTGAGTTCATTGACTAGTTCTAACAGTTTTTTGGTGGAATCTTTAGGTTTTTCTATTTATAGCATTGTGTCATCTGGAAAACCTCTGAGTAGGTTGTGCTCTTCTGCTGGCTTTGGGTAGGTGGCTGGAGAGTGTAGGGGGTGGGGCATACTTACCAACTTTCCTATTTATGGCATCTTCCATTCCAATTTGTATGCCTTTTTTTTTTTTTTTAATTTGTATTGCCTAATTGCTGTGGCTAGGACTTCCAATAATACGTTGAATAAAAGTGAGGAGAGTGGGGATCATGTCTTGTTTTTGATCTCATAGGAAAAGCTATCAGCTTTTCACTACTGATGAATGGTGAGTATGATATTAGCTGTGGGTTTTTCATATGTGGTGTTGAGGTAAGTTACTTCTATACTCACTTGGTTGTGTGTTTTTATCAAACGGATGTTGAATTTTGTCAAATGCTTTTTTCTGCATCTATTGAGATTATTATATGATTTTAATCTTTTAAATTAATATGGTGTATCACATTCACTGATTTAAAAATATTGAACTATCCTTGCATACCTGAATAAATCCCACTTGATCATGTTGTGTGATCCTTTTAATGTATTGCTGACTTTAGTTTCCTAATATTTTGTTAAGGATTTTTGCACCTGTATTCAACAGGGATATTGGCCTGTAATTTTTATTATTACTGTTGTTTTATATGTGTGGTGGTCGTTCTAGTTTTGGTATCAGGGTAATGCTGGCTTCATAAAATGAGTTTGTAGGCATTACCTCCTCTTCAACTTTCTGGAAGAGTTTGAGAAGGCTAGGTATTAAATCTTTAAATGTTTGGTAGAGTTTACCAGTAATGCCATCTGGCTCTGGACTTTTGCTAGTTAGAAGTTTTTGATTACTGATTTAATCTCCTTACTAATAATCAGTCTATTCAGATTTTCTATTTCTTTATGATTCAGTCTTGGAAGATTGTAAGTTTGTAGGAATTTTTACATTTCTTCTAGGTTCTCCAATTTGTTGGCATATAATTATTCATAGTAGTCTCATGATCCTTTGTATTTCTGTGGTATCAGTTGTAACTACTCTTTCATTTCTGATTTTATTTATTGGAACTCTGCCTCTTATTTTCTTGTTGAGTCTAGCTAAAGATTTAATTTTGTTCATCTTTTCAAAGAACCAGATCTTAGTTTTATTGATCTTTACTATTGTCTTTTTAGTCTCTATTTCACTTATTGCCACTCTGATCTTTATTATTTTCTTTCTTCTACTAACTTTGGGCTTCATTTGTTCTTCTTTTTCTAGTTCCTTGAGGTGTAAAGTTAAATTGTTTTTGTGATATTTCTTTTGTTTCTTAAGGTAGTCCTGTATTGCTATGAACTTTCCTATTAGAACTGCTTTTACTGCAGCCCATAGTTTTGGTACTTGCATTTCCATTTTCATTTGTCTCTAGGTGTTTTTTCATTTCTCCTTTGATTTCTTCTATTACCCAGTAGTTGTTCAGTAACAGTTGTTTAATCTCCATGTATTTGTACTTTCACGTTTTTTTCTTGTAATTTTTTTGTAATTTCATACCATTGTGGTAGACATGATACATGATATGATTTCAGTCTTCTTGAATTTGAGATTTGCTTTGTGGCCTAATATGTTATCTATCCAAGAGAATGTTCTACATGCACTTGAGAAGAATGTGTATTCTGCTATTTTGGGATGGCATGTTCTATTAAGTTCCTCTGGTCTAATGTGTCTTTAGGGTCAATGCTTCCTTATTGGTTTTCTGTTTGGATGATCTATCCACTGAAGGGTGTTGAAGTCCCCTATTGTTGTATTGCTTTCCATTCCTCCCTTTAGGTCTGTTAGTATTTGTTTTATATATCTTGGTGCTCCTATGTAGAGTGGATATATATTTATAAATGTTATATCTTCTTGCTGGATTGATCTCTTTATCATTATGTAATGTCCCTCTTTGTCTTCTATTACAGTCTTTATTTTAAAGACTATTTTTTCTGATATGAATATAGCTACACCAGCTTTCTTTACATTTCTATTTGTATGGAATATCTTTTTCCACCCTTTACTTTCAGTCTATCTGTATCTTGTAGGCAGTATACAGATGTGTCTTTTTAAAAAATATATATATATATCCATTCAGCTGTCCTAATTTTTTGATTGGACAGTTTAGTCATTTAATTTAAGGTAATTATTGATAAATATGTACTTATTGCCATTTTGTTAATTGCTTTCTGGTTGTTTTTGTAAGTTCTCTATTCATTTCTTCTTTCTCTTCCCTTGTTATTTGATGACCATTAGTTTTATGTTTAGATTTCTTTCTCATTTTTTGGTGTATTTACAATAATTTTTACTTTGTGGTTACTATGAGGTTCACACATATCCTACGTATATAACCAACTATTTTTAGTTGGTAGCAATGTAAGTTAGAACACATTCCAAAAGTACAGTTTTACTCCCCTCCTCCATGTTCTATGTTTTTGATGTCAAATTTTACATCTTTTTATTGTGTGTATCCCATAAATTATTATTGTAGTTTTAGTTTATTTAGCTAGTTTTGT